TCTTCTGCTAAAAAATCGTAAAAATTCACGACTTTATGAAAAATAGACTTCTTCAAAAAATATCTTAAAAGTTATAATTTTCAAAAAACCCAAACCTATACAAATTTTTAGAAAACAACTCCAAAATTTTCCAAAAAACAAACCTCAAAAAAATTCTTAAAAATAAAAAATAATTTCTAAAAAAATTAAAAAAATCAAATTTTCATTTTTTATAAAACAAGTCATCAAAAAGTTACTAAAAATCAAAACCTCAAAAAAATCGAGGTCTTCAAAACTTCTTAATCATAAATAATACTAACTTTCAAAAAATTCCAAACACAAAGAATTTTAAAACTCTTAAAAATTTAATCCCCAAAAGAAAGAAAAAAATCTAAAAATATAATTATTAAAAAACACGTTGATCTGAACCAATCTTAAAAATGTAAACCTCAAAACACATAAAAAATCAACGCCTTAAAAAATCCAAATCTTAAAAATTTAAACCTCAAAACACATAAAAAAAATCCAAAACTCCAAAAAATTTAAAAAATCACGTCTGCTTAAAAATCTTAAAAAATCGACGTCTTAAATCTAAAAATCTTCTCAAAAAAGTGAAATATTCCAAAAAATTTAAAAAATAAGGCAAATTTCCTAAAAATTCAACCCTCAAAAAACCATTAAAAATTTAAACATCCAAAAATATTATTACAAAAAATATGTCTCTAAAAAGGAGCTGCAAACTTACCTTGCTGCAATAATAAATATCCGACATTGTTGTTGGAGTTGTTAGTTGGTCAGCATTAAAATGAAAAATCCACAACAATTAATTTTTTCTTTGAAAACACTTTTAGGGTTACTGGGTGATCTTGAGAAAAAATGCTTTCAATTCACTTTTTTGGATTTATTTTCTTTCTTTTTATTTTGTATTTATTTTTGTTTTATTCTTGATTTTCAGTGACACTCTTCTTGTTTTGCAATGCATAAAATTTCTTGGCTTGTTAATTTGTACTAATTTTTTAATTATTATTTTTTTTTTCGTTTTAACACAATTAATTGGCTCAGTAAATTTTATGATTTGTTTGCATTTTTCATATTTTGGTGGTTGTTTTTATTATTTTTCTCAATTTTTGTTATGCGTTTTTATGCGGTTTACTTTTTTGTTAAACGCGCCAGAATTTCCGCCTTGACTTGCGACGATGCATCCAACAGGGTCGCCGTGAAAAGACGTTTCAAAGACAGCAACTTTCTACTTCAGTGGTGGCGCAACTGAAGATTTTTGTTGTTGGCTTCTTTTTTTCGAAAGAAAAACGTCTCTTATTTTCGCTTGTCTTGGACACTCAGCAGCAACTTTCCTGCCATCACAAAAAATAATCAAGCTTAAACAAACGTACACACAAACATACATAGACACACACACACACACACTTGTACTAATAAATGCACTTTTTAAAAAGTAAAATACCAGGCAATGTGGGGCTGAATGGCTGGCACGCATGCGCACAAACTGCACTGGGTTTGGTTTTTCTTTATTTTTATTTTTAGTTAGTTTAGCTGCAGTTTATTGTCGTGCCGTGTCTGTCTGACTGCCTGGCCGTGGTTAGTCAGTCGTCCAAAGTGGTTCTTCGTGGTTTATTTTGCTAGCTGCTGTTGCTGCTGCACTTCTGCTGTAACATGTTCTGCTGCAATTCCAACTAAGTTTGGTCGTTTCTTGGTTTGTTTTGTTGTTAGCTGCAAAGTCGGTGTTATTTTCGTTATATTAAATTGTTGTTGTTTTTGTTATTATTGAGCCGTTCTTCGAACTGCAACACAACGTGCGACCACCACACCACAAATAACTTCTCACATTACTAGCTGGTGGTACCCTATAAGTACAACCATTACAACAATGGTGCTGATGATGGTGACGACGACTATGACTGCCTCAATCCTCCAATTCAAATCCTCAACAATGTTAAATGTGAAGCGAGCAAAATGTCAACAGCATTGCATTCAGCAAATAATTTTTATTTCAATGCACATACGTCATACACCGAACAACAAAACAACAACAACAATGTTTTGCAAATCAAAACAAAAAGAAATCCCCAACAACTTCTTGATGGAGGACTGATTGCAGTGAGTGAGTGAGTGACATTCACTACTACTACTACTGGTACCGCTGCAAAACACAACAACTCTCGCGTAAAAATCACCACTAAACTCCCTCTCTCTCACTTGATGTTTAGAAAGGCAATATTTTTTAACAAAAACAATCACGATCGCGTCAACAAGATATAGCCATATAAGACAACAAATAACAACAAATACTTTTTTGTTTTTTTCTTTAGTGACCAAACCGCAACATTTGTTTCGATATTTTTGCTGAAATTGTTCTTCGTCAGCGAATCACACAAATGCCGTTAAGCACAACCGCCTCTTAGCCAAGTCTGTTTAAAACTGAATATCATCGTGGCCCAAGAAATGTTTGGTAGTACCATAACAACCAAAAAATCCAGTTTGTCTTGTGTGCGTTGTTGCTCTCCGTCCGTAAAGAAAACGTCAAACAAACAAAGCCTCGACTTTTCTTCTCTTAAGCTTAAAGTTAAGTCAAGACAAGACATGCGCTCACTCTCTTAACATAAACTCTCAATGTGGTTTCTATCAAAGACATTGTAAATTTTAGATAAATTTTATGGTTGTTGTCTTTAATAATGGCCAAGATAAAAATAATCATTATGGACAAGGCCTTAAAATTGGGATTTCAAGTAATTAATTGAATTTTAGATTGAGAATTTCGAAAAAATCAAAAAAAAAAATAAATTTCTAAACAAAATCTTAAAAAATGAGTTCTAACAAAAATATAGACGAAAATATTAAATATTTAAAAATACACATATTAAAAAACAAATAAAAACCAGTAAGGAAAGTAGTAAAGTGGGACGGGACCGACTATATGATACCTTTCACCACTACGGGTATATTAAAAAGATGCATCCTAACAGAAGGGCCATTAACATGAAATTGGATGAACTAAAATATGTGACTTTCATATAAATGTGAATCGACTTAGATCAATCCATAAACATGTCATTCGTTTGTTACAATGGGACACAATTATGTAAATCGAGCCCAATTAACACGAAATCGGTCGGAAATATATATGGGCTACATCTGTACTTCTACACGCAATTACGTCATTCTATTCTATAGCCAAATGTGAACGGCTTTCAACGAATCTTGTCACAAGTTAAGTTAGACTAATTTATGCACGTTTTGTCCTTATGGTCTTAACCGAACTGTGCTAGCGTGACCATCACATCGTCACACTCATAATACGATCAATAAATCATCTAAAAAACCTGTACCCGAGCAGTGCCAGTGTGAACATGCGGCCACAGTCCAAAAATTGATCCTGTCGATTATCCTGATAAGAAAAAAGGATACCAATAAATTTTTTGAATTCAGTGGCCCACAATCTAAACAGGCTAAAAGTTTCGTCCCACAATTCGAAAAAAAATAATTAGAGCTCTGTTCGGGTTAAAATCGGACAATTTTCAGGAAACTTTACACACATCATTCTAGACTCAATTCGGTATGTTATGTCAAATTAAAATAAAATTGGGCTATATATAAATCTGAACCGATTTTTCTAGACTTAATTCAGTACGTTATGCCAAATTTCGTGCAAACCGAATGATATATAGGGACATTGGTGAACCATTTACATAAAATCGGACGAAAATATATATGGGAGCTATATCTAAATCTGAACCGATTTTCACGAAATTTAACACACACATTTCTAGACTTAATTTAGTACGCTATGCCAAATTTCGTGGAAATCGAAAGATATATATGGACTTTGGTGAACCATTTACATTAAATCGGTCGAAAATATATATTGGAGCTATATCTAAATCTGAACCGATTTTTCTAGACTTAATTCAGAACGCTATGCCAAATTTCGTCCTAATCGAAAGATATATAGGGACATTGGTGCACCATTTACATTAAATCGGACGAAAATATATATGGGAGCTATATCTAACACGCCTGCAAGAAAAATTCTTTAAAAATTCAACTCTCCGAAAAAAATCTTAAAAATCAAAGTCTATAAAAAAGTCTTTAAAATCAAAGCCTCCAAAAAATGTATAAAAATCAAGGTCTCCAAAAAAAATTAAAAACCAAAGTCTACAAAAAATTCTTTTTATTTTAAATTTAAATATCAAAGTGTAGAAAAATTTTAAAAATCGAAGCCTCCAAAAAACTTCTAAAAACCAAAGTCTCCAAAGCATTAAAAATCAAAAAATTCACTTCAAAAATTTGACCAAAAATCTGAAAAATAAAAATCCAAAATTCTTTAAATTCACGTCTGCCAAAATTCTTAGAAGTCTACACCTACAATATATTCATTTAAAGAATCCAAATCTCAAATTACCTAATTTCTTCAAGATCCATCCCACAAAAAATCAACATCTCTACAAAATATTACAAAAGAAAATATACAAAACGACTCTAAAAAAAATTTTAAAAATTCAATTAAAAATCAAAGCCTCCAAAAAAATTCTTAAAAATCAAATTCTACAAAAAATTCTTAAAAATCAACGACTCAAAAAAAACACAAAAATCAAGGACTCCAAATAAATTTTAAAAATCAACGTCTACAAAAAATTCTTAAATTTGAAAAAAAAATTGAAAAAATATATTATTTTAAAAATCCACGCCTTGTGATTCCATGAAAAAAAATATTCTTTAAAAAATCCATGTTTTGTGGTTGATTGAAAGAAATATTCTTTCAAAAATCCACGCCTTATGGTAGGTTGAAAAAATATTCTTTAAAAAATCCACGCTTTGTGGTTCCAAGAAAAGAATATGTGGTTGCTTAAAAAAAATATTCTTTAAAAATCCTTGTGGTTGCTTGAAAAAAAATGTGGTTAATAAAAAATCTTATGAATCCATTAGAAAAATATTCTTAAAAAAATCCTCCCCTCAGACCTCCTAATAAAAAAACGACGTCATGAATTGAAAGTTTATTGTTATATTCAATTTCCATTTTGACGACGTTTCAAAAAATTTTCCACCAGACGTATAAAGACAAAATAAATAATTTCAATACCGCTGATCAATGAGCAGCCCATACAGATCCCTATGACTCCACCTATGTTTGCTAAAATAGAAATAAATCTTCAGATTTTATAAATTCTCTGTAAAAGCTTCAAAAACTTACACAACATCTGATACCAATTATACAAAACATTCTTTTGATATTGCGTACCATATTCCGTGGGATAGTATATTTTTATCAAACTAATATCCTGCGCGTCTTTTGGTAAAGATTTCCTGAAATCCGAAATAAGAAAATAGTTGTGGATATCATTTCTCGCTTCCCTTTCTTGTCATTAATTAACTTACAAATATTTAAAATTATCCGGAGAGTGAGGATTATCCTTGAGGCTACTCTTGGCCTTGTAAAAATTATAACGATGAAAGGTGCACAAAGGCAGGCATTCGGGACAGCTTAATGCATCCAAAAGTTCGGCTTGCATGTGTAGATTCATATACTCCAAGGGGGGTTTGTAGGTCTGCCAGGTAACTGAAATGGGCATCCATATATTAAAACGCCTTTGTTTAAATCTAAAAAACTCACTTCGATATCTTTTCAAACATTCGGTGTGGGCCAATGAACACTGTACCAGCGGTTCTCTATCATTGTCCATCTCCACCTTATCCCCAAAGGCAAAGAAGGGCATACAATTACACAATGATTCTATGCTACGAATTTTACATTTCATCAAACAACCAGCCTGTCCATAGCCACCCATTTTATCCTCATTGGGGAAGTAGCAGCCCCGTTTCGCCACAGGATGATGTCTCACTGCATTTGTTGTAATTTGTGATACTAATTTCAATCGGATATCTATATCATCACCAGCATCCACCTGGACAAGGCCCATGTGTCCTGTGGAGCTATCGGCATTTTGTTGTTTACCAAATATTTGTATTGTAAATCCCGTCAAACTATCCTCGGCATAAAAATAGTCTTTTGTCGTGGAGTTGAGGAGCAGCACCAGGCCCATATCACTACCAGCACGTCGGGCATAATAATAATTCTGTTCGGTTCTGGAATTAAAATCAAATTTTAAAGGGGCTTTGGATTACATCTTATGCATATCTCAGATACCTCTCATATTGATAATTAAACACACAGCAATAACCCCTTGTAAAGCCCACCAATTTTAGCTCCTCCTCACAATTAATGGCCTCACCAGCCCAATAACATGCCAACAACAAATCTTTGCACTGCGGAGCCAAACCTCTCAAAAACTTTGCCGTATTAAAGGGTTTACCGCCCTGACGTTCCAAAATATCTTGTAAATTTTGTGCTTCATCAAAATCTATTGAGTCTGTATTGAAGAAACCTGCAAACAGCTTCAATTTCTCCAACCAATAATCATAGAAATTCAAATCGAATGAATCGCGGGACCTACAACAAATTGGCGGTGCATTAAATATTCTCGGTGAGTGCAAAGTTTTTTGTGACACACTGTAGGTCGAACTACTTACAAATTTCTGGCCAATGCTTGCATGGCAGTTCGACTCAACTTATTGTGACTACAAACGGCAATCGAGGGAAAGGGTACATTCCATATGGTATGTTCTTGCGGATCCAGTGTGGTTATAGTGGGCTCAGCCAGGAAAGAAGACATTGTGGAGATGCAGACATAGATGGCGAAGGCCACACCCAGTACAATGAACATGAACCAGAAGAGCCTAAAATGAAATAAAATAATTGTGGATTTTTTAATGAATTTTTTTCAAGCCACAATCCCTATATATCTTTCGATTTGCACGAAATTTTGTATAGCGTACTGAATAAAGTCAGGAATGATGTGTGTTAAGTTTCCTGAAAATCCGTTCCGATGTAGATATACCTCCCATATATAATTTCGTCCGATTTGAGGTAAATGGTGTACAAAAGTCCCTACATATCTTTCGATTTGCACGAAATTTGGTATAGCGTACTGAATAAAGTAAGGAATGATGCGTGTTAAGTTTCCTGAAAATCGGTTCAGATTTAGATATAGCTCCCATATATATTTTCGTCCGATTTGAGGTAAATGGTGTACCAAAGTCCACATATCTTACGTACTGAACTTAGTATAAGTTAGATGGGTCTGATTGGCACAAAATTTTGCACAACTTATTGAAGTTATTATAAGATAACGTGTGGCAAGTTTTGTTGAAATCGGTTCCGATTTAGATATAGTAGATATATATAGTTTCTTCCATTTTTAAGTAAAAGGTGCACCAAAGACCCAAATATAGGTAGGTCGATTGACACAAAATTTTCACAACGTTCTGAAGTTTATATAACCTAGCATGTGGAAAGTTTTATTGAAATCGGATATAGCTACCATTATTTTCTCCCGATTTAAGAAAATGATGCACCAAGTAATCAGAATGTGGCCGATATTCTGTGCCAAATTTCGATTAAATCGGCTTAGATTTCGATATAGCTTTTATAAATATTTTCGTCCGATTTTATGTAAAAATGCGACGTCTTTAGAATGCATCTGTCGAATATACCCAAAGTGGTGAAGGGTATCCACAAGGCGTGGATTTTTTTAAAGAATATTTTTTCAAACCACCACAAGGCGTGGATTTTTTAAAGAATATTTTTTTCAAGAAACCACAAGGCGTGGATTTTTTAAAGAATATTTTTTTCATCGAACCACAAGGCGTGGTTTTTTTAAAGAATATTTTTTTCATCGAACCACAAGGCGTGGTTTTTTTAAAGAATATTTTTTTCATCGAACCACAAGGCGTGGTTTTTTTAAAGAATATTTTTTTCATCGAACCACAAGGTGTGGTTTTTTTAAAGAATATTTTTTTCATCGAACCACAAGGCGTGGTTTTTTTAAAGAATATTTTTTTCATCGAACCACAAGGTGTGGTTTTTTTAAAGAATATTTTTTTCATCGAACCACAAGGCGTGGTTTTTTTAAAGAATATTTTTTTCATCGAACCACAAGGCGTGGTTTTTTTAAAGAATATTTTTTTCATCGAACCACAAGGCGTGGTTTTTTTAAAGAATATTTTTTTCATCGAACCACAAGGCGTGGATTATTTAAAAAAATATTTTTTTATCGAACCACAAGGCGTGGTTTTTTAAAAAATATTTTTTTTATCGAACCACAAGGCGTGGTTTTTTTAAAGAATATTTTTTTCATCGAACCACAAGGTGTGGTTTTTTTAAAGAATATTTTTTCAAGGGCCAACACAAGGCGTGGATTTTTTAAAGAATATTTTTTCAAGGGCCAACACAAGGCGTGGATTTTTTAAAGAATATTTTTTCAAGGGCCAACACAAGGCGTGGATTTATTAAAGAATATTTTTTCAAGGGCCAACACAAGGCGTGGATTTTTTAAAGAATATTTTTTCAAGGGCCAACACAAGGCGTGGATTTATTAAAGAATATTTTTTCAAGGGCCAACACAAGGCGTGGATTTATTAAAGAATATTTTTTCAAGGGCCAACACAAGGCGTGGATTTATTAAAGAATATTTTTTCAAGGGCCAACACAAGGCGTGGATTTTTTAAAGAATATTTTTTCAAGGGCCAACACAAGGCGTGGATTTTTTAAAGAATATTTTTTCAAGGGCCAACACAAGGCGTGAATTTTTTTTAAGGAGCTATAAATTATATCTGTGAATTTGTATATGTGGGAAAATCATTTTACTTTTCATGTGATGTTTTATGAAATTCCCTCTTTAGAAAATGTTAGGCTTTAATATTTTCCCATTCACCACATCATTTGTACATCTCCACATTTCAAGCTGTTTTTAATTTAACGTTATTGAACTTTAATCCCATAATTGCTTCATTTCACATAACATAATTGAACACAACACCAATACACACACAACAGACCAAAAATCTGTGATTGATGACAATTTATTATTGCACAACATAATTCACAGAATTCTTGCGTGTCAAACAACCAACCGAAGAAAAGCAACCAGGTTGCATTGATGTCCACCATCAAATCCATAAACATACCCACCAACCGACCAACCAACCTTTGATACTTTCGCCGTCGTATATAATACAAAAGGCCAAAACCGTTGAGGCTTGTTTTTTGGAAATATTCAACCAATGTCTCTTTGGCAGCCTCATAGAAAATTGAAGCTGAAGATGACGACGACGATGATGCTGGTGCTGGCATTTTTGTAGAGTTTATTAAACTTTTGTCACCACGATTCGATACACAATAACTTAAACACCGATTGTTGTTTGTTTTTGTTGTAAAGAAAGCGCATTAACAACTAACTGCAAACTAAGTAACCAAAATGTCACCAACAATAGCATCAGCCAGCAATGACAATGATGACACTATTTTTTTGGTGGCTGCAGTACTATTTACGAATCCAACCGCTGCTATGCCGTGCTGCTGGCCTATGAGGAATACAGGTGCGGACTGTAAACAGACAGGCAATCTGGTTGGTAGTGTGTTTGAATGGTGTGACATTAACTTTGAGGGATGGTGTCTTATTTGATTGTCGAGATTTTAATCAGGGCAGCAATAATTGAAAAATAATATATTTTGAAGGCGTGTGTGAACAGAAATATTTGTGTTTATTTTGGAAAAACAATGTATTAATATCAGATAGCGGAAAATTAATGGTGAAGGTAAAAATTATCGCGGTATAGATAAATAAATTGTCACCACTTTGCGATAATCTACACAGCGAGTAGCCTGATGATCTTTTTGTATCCTCCAAAGATAAAATACCTCTTGGCAGAAAGTTAGGCATTTTGGTAATTTCCGGAACCCCATATGGAACTATGTAATTTTTCAAAAGGTAGGTAAAACCAGTGAGCGGAGCAGTATAGTCGGACGGGGCCGACCATACGATACCCTACACAACTACCACGGAACTCAAATTTTCTGCGGATGTTTATTCCGAGCCTGGGCAATATTTCGTGATATTTGCACCCTCTTGCCCGATTAGAGGTAAAAAGCACATCTTCCTCACACTGACATATTTTCCGAATATTACGTGTATTCAGTACAGCTATTGTCCAGATTCCCTTCACTGTGGGTTGTGTTGTGATGTTCGGCTTTCATTTGTGGTCCATGGATCGACTAGAAAATAACACAAAAAATTAAGTTTTCGGTCCACTTCATCCCAAAATTATTATCTGATCATCACCGAAAATTGTAGGCGTTGTTCTTGACCATACCCGGAACCTCATGAAACATTTCAAAGCGATCAGCGCTATAGTTCCGCTCTCTAGACTGATAATGGGTTACTAACTAATATACGAATGCGGAGATACCTGTAAATATTTAGTTGTAACTCCCAAATCCGAGTACATACGACAATATAATTGGTCTAAATTTTAAGGTCAACCACTCCTCTTGGATATACAATCAACTTCTCGGGTCTATGTCCTTCAGGGGCAAATATGTACGCCATAGAATACAAATTTTGCCATTTTCACACAAAAGTCAGGGTCCATTTGGCCCGCTAAATATTGACCGATCTTTATCAAAACAGGCATGCTTATTCTTTGGCCCGATCCCCTTCTCCATGCAAAATTTCACGAAGTTAGGGCCATTATTGCGGCCTCTGGAGCGACCAGGAAAACCGAAAAAAATTAGTATTTGGTCCATTTCATCCCCTAAATATTAAACGATCTTTCACAAAAACAATAGGGGTCTTCATTGGCCAGAACCCATCATACATGCAAAATTTCGTGAAGATTGGTCCATAACTGTGGCCTGTATCGTGTTTACAAATTATAATGGACAGACGGACGGACACACATGTCTAGATCGACTCAGCTAGTCGAGATATGACGATCGGTATACTTAAAGGTGGGTCTAGGACCAATATTTCGCGGCGTTACAAACTTTTGGGGCTGCACAAAGCTATAATACCCTGACAACATAGTTGTGTAGGGTATAAAAATAATAAAATAAACAAGGCCATAAACACTTATAATTTGTATAAAGTTCGGTCAGAATAGAAATAAATCGGCTGAAGAGTAATAAAGCAGCAGGAGCTAATGGGTGGTTATCAGCCGAACTATTCAAGACTGGTGGCCAGATGTTGGTAAGGAGCATGCACCAGATGATTAGTACAATTTGGCTAGAAGAATGCATTCCCAATGATTGGAACCTCAGCATCCTGTGTCCCGTGCACAAAAAAAGGAGACAAGATGATATGTGCCAACTATAGAGGAATTAGTCTTCTTCCCATCGCATATAAAGTGCTATCCAGCGTGCTGTGTGAAGTGGCTAAAGTCAATGGCCAATGACATTATTGGACCATACCAATGCGCCTTCAGACCTGGCAAATGCACCATTGACCAGATTTTCACTCTGCGCCAAATACTGGAAAACCCCCACGAAAAACACATCGACACATTCCACCTATTCGTCGACTATAAAGTCGCATTCGACAGCCCTATCCGTTCAGAGGTACTTACAGTCATGTCTGCGTTTGGCATTCCTGAAAAATTAATACGGCTATGCAGGATAACTTTAAGTGGGACATGGTCAGCAGTTAATGTCGGAAAGGACCTATCAGAGCCCTTCAATACCGAAGGATGATTCAGACAAGGTGACAGTTTGTCGTGTGTTCTTTTTAACATCCTGCTAGAAAAGGTCATACGAGACGCAAATGTGAACAGAAATGGGACTTTGTACACCAAACAACACACGTTACTCGCCTACGCCGACGACATCGATATAATGGGTCGAACACTGCGATCGGTAACAGCCAACCTTGAACAAATTGAGAAGGAATCTGCCAAAGTGGCTCTGGCAATAAATGGCGAGAAGACAAAGCTAATGGTATCAACGGGCAAGACGTCCGGTAGACTCGGACCAACTGTGGAACTTGAGAACTACAGTGTCGAGGTAGTCAAAGATATTATATACTTTGGTACCGCCATAAATAAAACTAATGACATCCGTTTTGAAATTCGGAGAAAGATAATGTTGGCCAACAGATGCTACTATGGTCTGAGTAAGCAACTCAAAAGCAAGGACACTTCCCGCCAGACCAGCATGGATACTTGCGCAAGCAGATGAGGCACCTCTTAAAGTGTTTGAGAGAAAAATTCTACGAAGGATCTGCGTCGACGGTGAATATCGGCGTCGAATGAACCACGAGCTTTACAATCTATACGCGGACCTCGACATAGTCAGACGAATCGAGCTGCAGTGACTACGCTGGCTAGGCCATCTTGTGAGAATGGATAAAGATGCCCCAGCTCAAAAGGCGAGTCAAGTGATGGTTCACGCAGAAGGGAAAGGCCACAAATTCGATGGAAAGATCAAGTGGAAAAGAGCTGCGCACTAGACCGACGCGCATGGAAACATTTTTTAAGCTCGGCCTATGGAACAAATGTTCTGTCACAAGGCAACTAAGCACGTAGTAAACGATTTTAAGTAGTCTAAAGTCGGATTTTCCAAGCTGTAATTAGAAGTTAAAATACCTTCTCGCTGAAAATTAGGCACTTTAAACGTAACTCAAATGTAATTAATTTGTATACCCTTCACCACACTGTGGTACAGGGTATTATGTCTTTGTGCATATGTTTGTAACAGACAAAAGCAAACTAGATAGACTCATGGTTACTTTTGAGAATATGCATAGAATCACTTTTTAAGTCGATTTAAGCATGTCCGTCCGTCTGTCTATGTTAAATTGTAAACAAAATACAGCATTTTTGATTCGAATTGGATGAAATTTGGCACAGCTCATTTATTTGGCCCAAGGACGAACCCTATTGAAATTGGGAAAAATCGATTCAGATATAGCTCCCATATATATTTTCCTCCGATTTTAGGTAAATAGTGTACCAAAGTCCCTATATATGCTTAGATTTGCATGAAATTTGGCATAGCGTACTGAATTGAGTCTAGACTGATGTGTGTTTAGTTTCGTGAAAATCGGTTCAGATTTAGATACAGCTCCCATATGTATTTTCGTCCGATTTAATGTAAATGGTGTATCAATCCCCGTATATATATATTTCGATTTGCACAACATTTCGGACAGCGTATTGAATTAGGTCTGGAATGATGTGTGTTAAGTTTCGTGAAAATCGGTTCAGATTTAGATATAGCTCCCATATATTTTCGTCCGATTTAATATAAATGGTTCACCAAAGTCCCTGTATATCTTTCGATTTGCACAAAATTTGGCATAGCGTGCTGAATTAAGTCAATAATGATTTGTGTTAAGTTTCATGAAAATCGGTTCAGATTTAAATGTAGCTCCTATATGTCTTTTCTTTCGATTTTATGTAAATTGTGCATTAAAGACCCAAATTTGGTCCGATTGGCACGCAATTTTCCACAACGTACTAAAATTAATATGAATTAATCTCAAGAATGTTTCGTTGAAATCTGTTCAGATTTAGATATGGCTCCCACATATATATTTTCGTCCGATTATAGGTAAATTGTGCACCAAACTCGCAATATTTGTTCGATTGAGACAAGATTTTGCACAGCGTACTGAATTAGGCCCAGCTTGATGTACATGTTTTGTTGAAATCGGTTCAGATTTAGATATAGATATATAGATATATATAGTTTCCATATAGAGTATAGTCCGATTTTATGTAAAATTTTTTCGATTCAGACAAAATTTTGCACAGGGTCCAGTTTGATGTACGTGAAGTTTTGATGATATCGGTACAGTTTTAAATATATATTTCTCAATTAGGTCCTCAATTAGATTTACATATAGCTCCACATACATTTTTTGCTCGATATCATATAAATGGTACACAAAAGAATCCGAATGACATAAAATTTTTCATAGATTTCGGAATGGTACGTGTATGGGTTTTTAGTTGGTTCAAATATCTATATAGATCACACATTTAGTTTCGCCGCATTCAATGATCCTCTAAAGATTATATGTATGTTCTATCTACAGGATATTGTATATATTAGCATCTCCTGTATGTATCCAAAGTGGCCCCGTTTGACTTTTGAACCTTCCTTATTGGTTAAGATTTTTAAAATATTTCTCAGATTTTATTAGATTTATCGTAGATTTTATAAAAATATTTTTGGGGACTTGTCAGAGTTGTGCGTTTTAAAAATAATATTTATTTTTAAAGAAGACATGTGCGATAGTACTTCATATGAATGATAAACTTTCCAAAGCAATTTTAATGAGTTATTTTGAAGATCTG